GGGAGGAGGGAAGGAGCCGAGGAGCCCCGGGCTAGGGGCTGGCAGGCCTGGACCCAGGGAGAGAGCGGAGCGCGCGCCCAAGAGGACAGCCCTGGGGATAAGGACCCTGCGGAGCTGGGCGAACCAGGGATCCTGAGTGAGAGGTGAGAGAGTCTGAAGACGGACAGCAAGGACCGCGCGGGATACTAGGCGGTGATGAGAAGGCCAGGACGGGCAGAGAGCAGAGGAAGGTGCAGGAGGGCACGGAGAGGGATCCGCAGCAGCGGACTGGGTGGGGCAGGGAGGGGCTGGAGCTGTCAGGAGGAGGAGCAACGCCCGTGCAGGGAAAAAGGGTGCCCTGAGGCACCTCCCCAGGACCGCGGGATGCTATAGCAGAACACAGAGGTGCGACTCACAGAGCGGAGGCCTGGCCGCGCATCACCACTCTTCCATGTCCACCTCAACCTCGGTTTACCATTCTGGTCTCAACTCCCTGGAAGCCGCCCTGAGACAGGGGGGTTGGGGAGAGAGGTTCTCCAATGAGGATTTGCTTAAAATTTGGATTTAAGCAAACCTGGACACATTTTCCTTGGCAACCACCAGACCCAGTGGACTGACCCGTGTGCGCGCGAGTAGAGCGAGAGACGGGATGATTCTTCACCCAGTCTCTTTAGGAGTAAAACTGAAAACTGTTACCGGATGGATCTGGGGCTAGGGGAGCATGGAATGCTGAGAAAGAGAGGGGGGGGTCAGGCTCTGTCTCTAAGCCCCCAGTCTCTCAATCCCCAAGTTAAACTCTGTTGGGTCTACCTCCTTGGGTCTTGGCTCTGCTAGCCCCTGAGCTGTCTCCTACCTGGAAAAGAACCTGACACTTGGCTCCAGGGAATTTGTGTATGTGGGGGGAGGGGGAGGCTGAAGGCGAGGGGTTTCTAACAAGGGTGGGTGTCCAGGAGCTTGGGAGAGGAGCTACTGTGCTTCCTACCTGCCTAGCTCTGAGTTCTGCCTCGACCCTGTCCTATCCTGCCTGTCAGTGCCTCCTGGACCAGACCCTACGTCTTAGGCTCCTCCCACTTCCCACGTGCGCTCTCCACAGAGCCCAAGTCCCCACCGATGGGAAACTGAGTTCATCACGCCCACGTCCCAACTCCCCAAGTTGAAGTAGTCTCTTCTGCCTGCTGACACGGGGCCTCTGAGGCCGGGCCCTGGGCCTGAGACACGAAGAGATGGTCGACATCCTTTGTCCATAAGGCCTGGGAAAGGGGCAAAGAACATCTTCCCAATGCTCTGCCCCCAGGCAGACCCTGAAAGCCCATTGCTACAGCTCAGCCAGTTGCTTAGTGACTTCCTGAGCCGTTAGACCACAGTCAGGACTGAAGGAAGGAAGCCTCGGAGGCTCCTGCTGCTTCAGACTCTGGAGGATGCTGGGGTAGCCTAGAGGACTTTTTGAAAGGGTGGCACGGGACCCACTAAGACTTGGTGTGCCCACACACGGGCCTCGAGGAGATGGGATGGCAGCGGTTTGCCCTCTTCTGTTGGCCTTGCTTTCCACTGGACAGAGAGGAAAGTCAGTGTCTACTCCCGGATGCAGGAATCCAGATGGCTTCCCTCCCTGGATAGGGAGCCCAACGGCTTCCTTTCTCAACACAACTCTATGGTGCCTGTACCAGAATCAAGGCCTCTCTGCCTCCAGTGCCTGCACTCTGCCCGCCCCGGGGGGCTCCACATGGGTCCCTCCGCTTCCTCTCGTGCCCGGAGTATCTAGCCTGGAGCGGTTTCTATTGAGGATGAGTCCCAACCAGCCCCATCCTATCTTCTCTCATTTTCATCCTGACAGAAGCCACGCGTATCCGAACCCTATGCACGCCCCCTTCCGATTTCAGCCAGGTTTCACAGAGTCAAGATTGGTCCTGGAATCTGAGATCTGAGGCACCAAGACCACTCGAGTTGTTGATCCCCGAGCCGAGCCACCAAATCTGTTTCTATTGCCAGTAAGCCAATTAAGGTCAGGCTGAGCAGGGGAGGCTCACTTTAGGCGCCAAGGCCTTAATTCTAGATGTGGAGACACATGCAGACCGACCCCCACTCCACTCCACAGGTGTGCCCCTCTCCCCCCTCCCGCTCTTGCCCCTCCCCCCCTCAGCTCCTTGGACGCTGGCCAGGGCTGTTCCAAGCCGCCCAGGAGGAATGCCTGCAACGTTTGTGCCTGCTGGGAATGAGGCCCCAAGGGTTGAAAGCTTCGCCTGGCACGGAAGGCTGAGAGCCAGGCTATGCCCCGATGCCCCCTTTAACCCCAGGCCCCCCGACTCAACCTTATCGACTGCGTACGTTCTCCTCAAAGTCCGAGGCACCCCAAAGCAAACCTGCGAACAAACCCCGTTTAGGCGAAAAAGAATGCAAAGAAACGGCACGAGGGAACCTTTGTTTAGGAATTCAGCGTTGGCTGGATGGAAAGGGGTTCACAAGGAAGGGGGGCCTCCCTTCCCCGTGGAGGACGCAGAAAGAGGGGGCGCCCCCACTAGAGGCTCAGTGGCTGTGTCCTGAGACCCACCCGCCAGGGCCTCCCCGCCGTCGCCGAAGTGAAAACTCCCGGAAACTGGCCGCTCGGGGAGAAGCAGGCTGGATGGAAAAGGTGACCTCAGCGTCCCCGGCCAGCCGCCCTCCCGGGTGGCCCGGGAACCAGGGACTCCGGGCCGCAGTCTCCTGGCCCAGGAGGGGCCCCTGCGTGTAGAACCCGGCCCCCTCTCCCCCTTTCCAGCCCGGAAGACCCCGGGTTTAGCTCGCCGTGGCGGGTGGAAGGCAGGGACGTGTCCCAGATGAGACAGCGGCCCCGGAGTGGAGCGTGAGGCTGTGTCCCCCTCGCCTCCACCTGCGGTTTCCTCCCCGGGCGCCCGCAGCAGGGACCGAGTCTGCAGCCAGGTGGTCCCTGCGCCGCTGAGTAGACAGGGCGGCCCAAGGCCAGGTCAGCCGGCACCAGGGGGATTCTGAGCGCGCGTCCCTCCAGCCCTGCCTGGACCTCAGAAATCTCCCTTTTGTCTACTTTTCCACTTACAACCGATCTGTATCTTAATCAGGAAAATGAGTTTGGGACCGAGATGGCTGAAAAGAAGATTTCTTTTCTCTTCTTTTCTTCTCTTTTCCTTTCCTTTCCTTTCTTTCCTTTCCTTTTCTCTTCTTTTCTTTTCCTTTCCCTTTCTTTCTTTCTTTCTTTCTTTCTTTCTTTCTTTCTTTCTTTCTTTCTTTCTTTCTTTCTTTCTTTCTTTCTTTCTTTCTTTCTTTCTTTCTTTCTTGTTTTTCGACACAGGGTTTCTCTGTGTAGCCTTGGCTGTCCTGGACTCACTCTGTATACCAGGCTGGCCTCGAACTCACAGCGCTCTCCCTGCCTCTGCCTCCCTAGTTGTGGGATTAAAGGTGTGCTCCACCACCCCAGGCTGGAAGGAAGATTTCTTAAACTTCTCTTCTGGGCAAACAGCTACCTGACGGGGTTCTCTTCCCCGATTCCTAGCAAGCCCTGAGCCTCCCCAAGTCCGCAGCGCACGCTCCCGGGGCGCTCTGGGTAAGTTTTCCTCCCAGGAACACCCCGGCGAGCCCCACATGGCCCCTTGGCGGTTTGTGTCCCTAAGCCTGCCTCTGGGCCCCGGGCGGGTTCGCGGTGGCGGCCTTCGGAAGGGAGGCTGGCTTCAACCTCGGCTGCGCGTGGTCCGGCCAGGCTGCGGCCTGCGCCCTGCGCTTTGCTGGAGAGTCTGGCGTCAACACCCAGAGCCGTCGAGGATGTAAAGCGACGCGGCACCCCCCCCCCCCCCCCGGCCACAGACCCGCGTCTGACTCGCTGTTTCGTTGGCCTCCGGAGTTCTTTTTTCCGCTGTGGGTAGCTCGGTGTCCGCATGGACTTTCGTTTTGGATCTGTCCTAGCTCTTCCCGGGGCTTGGAGGAGGGGACGCGCTCGGCGCCGGCGCCGCGGTGCCTTTGCGGACCTGATGGGTGGGGTTGGCTCCTTCTTGCTCCCCAGGGTTTGTTGTTCAGGAGCGTGTGCTTTCCTCTGCAAAGCGGGGTCAAGATTCGTGTTCGCCCGGAGGACTCCCCAAAGAAAAGGCTGTTGGTGATCAAGGTCCCCGGTCCCTTCGCTGGTCCCGCTTCACACCCGTCCCTGCCCTTAGTGGCTTCCGGTGCGACCTCGGATCCCAGCGTGCAGGTGAGAACCAGCTCCCAACACGCGACCCCGTGGCCGCTGACTGCGGCCCCGTGGCTTGCGCGGCGTGGGCCAACCCGGGGGAGCGTGCCCGGCGAGTGCCGGCTGGGGAGTGCCGGCTTCCCGTCCCCTCGGGGTAGGGAGGCCACCTCACGGTGCCTGTCCCCGTGGGCAGGTGCCCCGCCACCCATGCTGGCCACCTGGCTTGCACCCCGGGTTCCGCCAACCTCCCAGGGGCGCTGGCCGCCGCAGCCTCGGACCGGCCTTCGGGAAAAGCGCTCGGCTGAGAAGAGACGAGGCCCCAAGCCGGAGCCGGCGGGGCGAGCTGAGCGGCGCCCCAGCTTTCCCCTCTCTTCCTTTCGTTTT